ACACACCTCTCCCTGCGTTCAGGAGTCTCAACCAGGTGTTCAACCCCCCAACATACCTCTGCTTGCGTTCAGGAGTCCCAGCCAGGTGTTCAACCCCCCTGACACACCTCCCCCTGGTGTTTTGTGTAGCTCAGCTCCAGCCACAGGCATGAAGACAGCACAAGGAAGCACATTCAACAGCACCAGCAGAGATTTAATTTACTGTACACAGGCGCTACTACAGAGCTCCAGGAACTGGGCACATAGCCGGAGCTCCTGCTGAAAAAGTAACACAACTACAGCTTTCCGGCTGGCCAGCGTCCAGAGGGGCTCCCGCCCAGGTGACCTACTGCGCCCCTCTCCACCCCTTGACCCCTCTTCTCTGTGCCCCCTGCCCCTCCTCTAGGAGGTGATGGAAACCATGGTGTTGGGGCTGAGGATCTCAATCCAGTAACCGTCGGGATCTTGTATGAAGGCCAGGCCCTTCATCTTGCCTGCAACACAGAGACAGTGCTGTCAGACACGGGTGCGAGAGCTGGAGAGAACGGGAAGAGAGCGGCGAGGCGCAGGCAGAGCGAGGCAGGGGGACGGCCGCTCTCACCTTCGTCTGGCTTCTTCACGAACGTGACCCCCTCCTCCTCGAACATCTTGCAGGCAGCATAGACATCAGGCACCGCGATCCCAATGTGACCTGCAACAGAGAGTTTAATTCTGTTCTGTGTTCAAAGGAGTTCCCCTGGGGGTCCCCTCCCTCCCCCCTGATCTCCCCTGGGTGTTCACCCCGTCCACCCCCCCCCTTCTTCCTCTCCCCCCTCCCAGAGCTCTGCCCCGTCCCCTCTCTCTCCTCTCCCCTGGGTGTTCACCCGTCTCTCACAGCTTCACTGTCCTGACCAATCGTTGCCGAGGAGGTACAATGATCACAACACTTCCAGACATTTACAAACGCTGGACATTTACACCCATCAAACAGACCGCCCTCCCTCCCTGGTTACACAGCTCGTCTGCTCTCCTCACCGAAGCCACGGGGGTCGGAGTTGCCGTTGTGATAAGACTGGTTCTCATCGGACTCGGAGCCCCAGTTACTGCAGGAAAGAGGAGGCAAAACCTGTGAGAGACGCACAGGCAGCAACAAAGAGCCAACAGAACCAGAGCCTCGGCTATCAGCAGCCAGTGACCCTGGGCAGTCCTTCTGACCCCACCCAGGACTCGAGGAAGCCTGGAGAGCCTGTCACATGGAAGGACAAGGACACAAGAGCTGAGCCGTGTGGAGGAGAGATCCTAGGAGATGGACAGGACTGACACGGGCTTAGAAGAGGTAGATGAGGGAGTGTGGGATATGGAATATAAGGTGAGAGGACGCCAAATAGCCCATCTGGGCTCTTCCAGCTGTTTCTTGAGAGAAGCTAGAGTATCGACTTCATCAGTATGGTACCAAATTAATAACATTAGAAAACATGGCAGAAGCAGCAGATGAAATTTAAAAAGATTCACATTAAATTCAAGACCGGCAGATTAAGTTTCGAACAGAGAAGACTGTGAGGAGACCTGATACAAGAATTAAGGGACTATCCTACACTGACAGGCTGAAGGAACTAAGTCTCTTTAGTTTTGAACAGAGGAGACTGTGAGGAGACCTGATACAAGTATTAAGGGACTGTCCTACACTGACAGGCTGAAGGAACGGAGTCTCTTTAGTCTTGAACAGAGGAGACTGTGAGGAGACCTGATACAAGGGACTGTCCTACACTGACAGGCTGAAGGAACTGAGTCTCTTTAGTCTTGAACAGAGAAGTCTGTGAGGAGACCTGATACAAGTATTTACCATCCTCAAAGACACCAACAGAGTCAGCCCAGTGGCCTTCTTCAGAATGAACAGTGAAACACAAACCAGAGGACAAGTGGAAGCTATGTGGAAGAATTTAAACCTGAGAAAACTGAGGTTATTCTTTACACAAACGGTGGTGGGAGTGCTGAACAAGCTTCCCAGCCATGCAGTTGTAGCTGACACCCTGGTTTTTCTCATGAAACAGTTGGCCGAGATCCTCGGATGAATGAACTATCCCGCATGCCAGAAGGAGGTCCTGGCCTGACCCGTCATGGGCCGGGGGGCGACGCGGACCGCAGGCCTCAGCGCAGCACTCACTGTGTGAGCTCCAGGGTGGCTCGGCGGGAGAAGGTCCAGGCTGTCCGCTCCTTCACGTCCACGGGAATCTCCTTCTTGTCCTCATATCCCAGGAAGTACAGGGAGAAACGCATGGAGGGGAAGTCAAATTTCTGGAGCAGCCTGGTGGAGACAGGCATGGTGAGAGAGAGACCTCTGCAAACAGAATTCTTTACAAAATATTTTCCAGTGCAATCACATGCTGGTTACACCACGAAAACAGTGACCAGATTTCCTCCCACACAAGGCCCTGCTGAGCCCAGAGAAGAGCCCCCTCAGCCAGTTGGTCCTGAGGCTCACTGACACCAGCCAGGCTCAGGACAGCACTGCTAGAGCAACACAAATCAAAATCAACCACATCACAACACCACCTCACCCACTGGGACACACACACACAAGCACAACACAAACTGGAATGCTACAGGACCCTAAACAGACAACACACACTAGCTGAGACACAACAAAGAAACACAGATCCTGTCAGTGACCACAGCCTGGCAATAGAAACTGGGCGGCACAGGCAGACCTGGCTGCCCAGAGAGGACAGGCTCAGTGCCCACAGTCTGGACACAGACACTGGACACAGGCAGACCTGGCTGCCCAGAGAGGACAGGCTGTGCTCCCACTGCCAGTGGGGAGAAATAGAGACAGAGGTGCACTTCCTACTGCACTGTGACAGATACTCTGGGATTAACATTAAAACATTCAGAACAACTCCCAAACCTACTGGGGGAGGAAACTCAGAAGTTTGCAGTCCTGTGTATAATCTCAATCTCTTTGGAATTGAGAGACACAAGGCAGGGCAAGAATCGGGCTGAGAGACAGAGACAGGACTCACCTCATGCCCAGGACACGGGTGTAGAAATCCAGGGATTTCTGGGGGTCCTTCACCCTTAACATGGTCTGCTGCATCATGAAATCCTGCAATACAGCGCGAATGGGATATCAGAGGACTACACACCCCAGCAGCACCGTGGCCCTCCACAGCGCCGAGGACTACACACCCCAGCAGCACTGTGGCCCTCCACAGCGCCGAGGACTACACACCCCAGCAAGACATCACTGTTCTCCTGCAAAGCACCAGGCCCTGGACTAGAGCTCCGAGCATGTAGTTCTGTACAGTATTATTGTAACAGAGTCCCAGCATAAAAAACAATTACTGCCATTCAGCACATCTGGCCCGTCTGGTAGTTAGTAGTTAATTGATCTGAGGAACTCCTCCGGCTATTTCTCGAAAGAAACCAGGATTATCAGCTCCAATCTTATGACTGGACAGCTTGTTCCACACATTCACCACACTTTGTGTCAAAAAAGTGCCTCCTGTTCTCCCTTGTTAGATGCAATTCCACCGTTTGCATATATAGCCTTCCAGAAACTGGGGGGGGGGGACATCAAAGACTCATCAAAAACCAAAAACAGCACAGTCACCGATAGCAGCTTCGTCTCACACATTCCTCTGCATGAACAGCAGTGACTGTGCAGTCTGGCCAGCTGGAGACCGGACAGTTTCTTCCCACAGACTGTCAGATGACTGAAGTCTACCCCTACCGCTGGCTCACGCCGATGTTTTTTTTAAAACTTTGTTATTTAACTTGTTGTTGCTGCTGCTACTGTTCTGTGTTTATGGTTTTGCTGTTTCCTTAATGTCTTTGTATTGGAACATACATGCAAAGACGCATTTCAGTGCACTTGTGCAGGTGACACGGCAGCACAGTACAGTCACGAGCTCCGCCGGGAATCCTGGCCGCGAGCTGCGGGTTCCCGGGACGCGACGCGGCGTCACGCCCGCACCTGGGAATCACACACCGGGAAACACGGCCAGGCCCCGTCTCCTCTTTTCATGAAACTCTTCTTACACGCCGGACGATGAAAGCT